GGACGAGTAAAGTATTTGTAATAAAAATTAAAAATGTAGGTAGAGATGCAAGTAACAAAGAATAAAATGAATAAATCTATAGTATTTGAAGATTTAATGGTTTCGATAATATTTTGAATAGACATCTTTATTTATTTTTCTTTTCGTATGTACTTGTGCGTATGTATGTAAATTAGAATTAAATATTTAAAGCTCATTTTTATAAGGAATTTTTGGATACGAAAAAAAAAACAGGAATTACGAGTTTAAAAGGACTGCATATGTCCGCCATTGAAGTTTACTATTTTATTCATGAATAATGACAAATATATGTGGAAAATGTTGTGAGTGGGAACGGAATTTACGTTGATTGAATTCTTAATGTTAAAATTAGAATTTCTGTTCCAATTTCAAAATTACAATAGGAATGTCACTCCAGAGAATTACACATTATGTAAGAAAACGAAGTTTATGTAGGGTTGGGCAAACTTTGTAAGTTACATTTTAACTTACATATAGATCACATACTTTTACAAACTTACATTAACGTTAATTTGACGACGATCTACATTCTTCTTTTTTGATGCATCTAGGTTAGTAATTTATAAAGATATCAACTACGTAATAATACTTAATTTCAGTTCAAATAAGGAATCGTTGAATGGAAAAAATCGGTCCGAATACTATTAAGGTGAATATAAAAGGAAAAATCAATCACATAGAGTTTTCATGCTAAGCAAATCTATATTCTGCTTCTAAGCAAAGTTAATTTTCAGAACGAGACGATTTTAGAAGTGGTAGAATCATTAAAATCGGTTCAGTGGATTGTTCGCAATTACACTTTGAAGGTTCAAGAAACGTTTGTTTACATATGTTGATCTGCTGATCACGTAAACAAAAGGTAAACAATGCTGCCCGAACTCTGAAACGTAACTGTGAACAATTAATTAAGCCGAATTTGTTGATTTCACCATCGTTAGGATCATTTCTACCTGAAAATATATATGATTGTTTAAAGCGGATGATTCTTTTTTGGGATGCACATTTCCGGCAATGGAACCAATGAGCTAAATAATAAATTTATTCTTGAAAAAAAGCACATCTGAAATTTCTGTCAATCATCGCTAATTGTAACTAATAAAATCACAAGATCATATGTAACTTAAAAATTAGAGCAAACAGGAAATCTAAATAATAGTTTTCAGCACGAAATTTTAGTTATATGAGTATATTTAAATATCGAACATTAAGTAAATTAAAGCT